GGGGGGGGCCCCACACGTCCATGTGGAGAGTCTACAGTGGAGCCTCTGTCGGAGGAAACTCGGAGGAGTGGGGCGCGGCGCGCTGTCGCCCCTCGACGCAGGGGACGCAGGTAGGGCCAGGCCCAGGAGGTAGGGGAGGGAGGAGTGGGGGGCGGCGCGCTGTCGCCCCTCGATGCAGGGGACGCAGGTAGGGCCAGGCCCAGGAGGTAGGGGAGGGAGAGACCAAGGGAGACCAAAGACAAGGACACGGGAGGCTATGCTGTTAGAAGAGAGAGAATTTATACATTGAATAATGACTCAAGGGGCTCTTTAGTACAAATAATGAGCAAGAGAGAGATGAGAGGGAAGCTTTCCCTATTGGCCAATACGTTGGCCAATGGGTGAGCTTGCTTGTGACCCAAGCAACCACAAATGTGTATTGGTTGGGATTGGTTGAGCTAAGGACCAATCCCAACCATTCACAAAATGTGGTTGGAGGGTACACTAAGCAACCCCCCAATTTATAAATGTGCTACACTTCTAGCCTATGTATGTTGTATGAAATATGAAATTACAACACAACCCCCCAATATGCATAAGGCTAGAAGGCTAAAATCAAGAGGCAGGAGGCGACTTAGGAGGAGTGAGGCCAAGAAGACGAAGTAGGAAAGAGTGAGCGGCATGAGGAAGAGCTTTTGTGAAGATGTCGGCAAGGTTGGCCGCCGAGTCAACCTTGTCGAGGCGAAGGTGCCCCGCTTGAACAAGATCGCGAATGAAGAAATGACGGAGCTCAATGTGCTTGGAGCGCCCGTGAAACAGAGCATCTTTGGTGAGGTGAATGGTACTAGCATTGTCACACCAAATTGTGGGACAGCGCTGGGGGGCACCAAGTTCCTCAAGAAGGAAGGTGAGCCAGCGGGCCTCTTGCGCAGCCATGGTGGCGGCATATAATTCCGCCTCGCAGGAGGAGAGGGCTGCAGCCGAGGAGCGGGTGGAGCGCCAGCTGATAAGGCCGCTGCCAATAGAGAAGCCATAGCCCTGGGAGGAGCGACGATCTGGCTGGGAATCAGCCCAGGAGGAGTCACTGTAGCCGCTGAGAAGAGGTGGGTAGGGGCCGCCAAGGGTAAGGACATAGTCCTTGGTGCCACGAAGGTACCGGAGGACACGCTTGGCGGCCTGCCAGTGCTCTTCCGTATGCTTGCCTGCGCCAACAAAACGAGCGAGGACGCTGATGGGGTAGGCAAGGTCAGGGCGAGTGGAGACCATGGCGTACATGAGGGAGCCGATGAGCTCGGGATAAAGATGGGAGGAGGCTGAGGGGGAGGTGGGTGGAGAGAGGTGGTGCCCGAAAGAAAGAGGTGTATGTTGGGCGCCGCCGCGGGCCATGTCAAACCGCTCCAAGACCTGCTGCAAGTAATGACCCTGGGAGAGTGAGATGGTGCGGGCGGAGTGACAATGCTGATAATGCTGGCGAGCCATAGCGGAGCGTCAGGGCACGCCAGTGCCTCCTCGTACGTGGTAGGAACAAAAATGGAGGGAGCAGAGGAGAAGGCGAAGACAGGTGTGCCTGAGAGGTCGAACGTGATGGGTAGAAGCGAGGGGTCATAAAGGTGGAGGTCAAGGAACTCTTCATGGGAGTCCTCAGAGAGGGAGGTGTGGAAGGCGCGGATGACTGCTGGTGCTGCTGGTGGAGGCGTTGCCGGTGCCGGTGCTGGTGCTGCTGCTGGTGCCATTGCTGAGGCTGCTGCTGGTGCCGCTGCTGGTGCCGTTGCTGGTGCCGCTGCTGGTACTGTTGCTGGTACTGTTGCTGGTGCTGCTGCTGGTGCTGCTGGTGCCGCTGCTGGTCCCGCTGCTGCTGCCGATGCCGCTCCCGCTGCCGTTGCCGCTGCTGGTCCTGCTGCTGCTGCTGCCGCTGCTGGTCCCACTGCTGGTGCCGCTGCTGGAGAGGAGGTGGTTGAGGGGGCTGTTGCATGAGGGGCTTGATGCAAGACAGCCTGGAAGAAGTGACGGAGGAGGGGGGAGAGAGGGGGGAGGGTAGAGGTAGAGAGGGTAACGGGAGGCGGTGCACCAAGGATACCGTCACGTGACCTGGTGTGGGGATACCGGGTGAGTATGGTGCGGGAAGGGGGAGGACGGTTTGGTGGCGAGGGAGAGGAAGGGGGGGGGGGGGGGAGGGGTACTACGAGAGGAGTGAGCGGGGGAGACAGGAGAAGACAGAGGTTCCGGGTCAAAGATGTCACCAGAAGAGGGAGGGGCACCATGGGACTGGGACGGCGGAGAAGGGGGGGGTGGGAGGATGGGGGGAGGAGTAAGTAGTGGGGGAGGGGTGGTGTCAGACCAGACAAGGGGACGGGTGAGAGGGGGGAGTGGGTCAGTAGATGTGGGAGAGGAGTAGTAGGGAGTGGACTCGTCAAAGACCACATCCCGCCTGCGGATTAGACGACCGGATGGTGGGTGGAGGAAAAGGTAGTCAGGGGAGGAGGGATTATGACCAAGGAAGATGCAGGGAAGGGTACGAGGGGCAAGCTTTCCCATGGAATGGGAGCGGTCAGAGGGGTGAATGAGGACATGTGCCTTAGAGCCCCAGACACGAAGTGATGAGGCATCAGGCTTGTCCTTCGTCCACAGCTCAGTGGGGGTGATGGAGGGGAGAAGGGGGTGAGGGTAAAGGTTAGTAAGGAGGGCGGCATGAAGGAGGGCGTAGCCCCAAAGAGAAGGGGGGCAGGAGGTGTGGATAAGCAGACACCGGGCTGTTTTGGTGATCTCTCGAACACGACTCTCAGCCACGCCGTTCTGCTGTGGGGAGTGAGGGAGGGTGTAAGTCTGAAGGATGCCACGAGACTGACAATAGGAGGAGACTTGGTTGTTAAATAACTCACCACCTCCATCAGAGTGAAGGCGGCGAACAGGGCGCCCAAAATGGGTGTTTGCCCGCTCGAGCCAGGCGATGATCGCAGCCGGGGCATCCGCCTTCGTCCAAAGGAGAGAGACGGACGAGTACCGACTGTGATCATCAACAAGCACGACAAGGTAGCGATGGCCCTGGCGAGTGGGAGAGGGATTAGGGCCCCATAGGTCCATGTGAACAAGATCAAGTGGCTGCGTAGCAGCGGAGGGGGAGCTCTGGTGCAGCTGCTGCTTGAGCTTGCTCTAAACGCAGACAGTGCAGGGGGGGGCAGGGGATTTGGGGAGGGGAGGGAGGGAGGAGGGGAGACCGTGGAGGAGACTGGAGGAGACAGAGGAGCGCAGAGTAGCAAAGTTGGGGTGGCCTAGCCTGTGATGGAGGAGGATGGTGGGGTGGGAGAGGGAGTGACAGGAACAGTCAGAGTCAGGAGGGCCGGGGGGGAGGGGTGGGTTAGTGGGAGGGAGGGGAGGGGGGGGGGGGGAAGGAGGGGGGGGGAGGCAACTTGGAAGGTGAGGGGGCGGGGAACCCGAAGGGTGTACAGACGGGAGCGGGGACAATAGGGAATACGGGCGAGAAAACGACATGTGGAGGTTTCGTATAGGTCACAATGGTTAGCACCACCTGGGATGAGAGTGGTGATCATGGCTTGTTGGAGGGACCTTTGGGAGAGGAGGTTAGTACGAAGGGAGGGAATGTGGAGACCGGTGACAGTACCTGAGGGAAAGAGAGGACAGGGAAGGGTGGAGGTGTTGTGACAAGGGATGGAAAAACTGCTATCAACGCCGAGGAGGGAGGTTGGTGTGGGGAGAGGGCGCAGTGTACCAGCGTCGCGAAGGACAGTGTCAGTGGCTCCACTGTCCAGAACGAAGTCAATGGTGGAGGAAGGTGAGGCAGAGTACTAGAACAAAGTTTCATTAGCAGAAGAAGGGTACATGGTAGATGCAACAGATTCAGGTTGACCTAATAAACCAACAAAACCAGAGGAAGGGAAAGCGGTCACACTGCCACCTGCAGACGGCGCCAGGGACGCACCCGAGAGATGGGCTGCAGAGGCAGCACTCCCAGCAGTCCAGGTAGGAAAGGGCTGCTGCTGGGAAACCGGAGGAGGAGGGAGGAGGGGCAGTTGCGGCGGGAGGTCGAGCTGCTGCTGGAGATGCTGGAGCTGCTGCTGGAGCCGAGAGAGGAGAAGCTGCTGCCCATACTGCTGTGACCCCTGCTGCTGATTCCCAAGCTGCTGCTGCTGTTGCTACTGCTGGTGCTGCTGCTGGGGAGGGGCGAGGGCCTGGTGGGCGTGGGTGGAGGAGGGAGGTTCATAAAGGGGAGAGGAACGGACCTCAAGGGGAGTGGGGCGAGGGTTGAGGGCGGACCAGCGAGGAGGGGTGCCGGTGTTGCCACAGGCAAACCACTCATCACTGAGTGCCTTGAAGCACGTCTCAGTGGCATGGGTGGTTTGGCCGCAGCGCTGTCCCTGAGTGGGACCGTAGCGAGGCAGGTACTGACAGGGAGGAAAGGCAGCTGCCGTACCACGACCCGCACCACTGCTGCCAGCACCACCGCGACCTGCTGATCCCCCTCGTCCACCCCCACGCCCACCACCACGCCCACCCCCACGCCCACCGCCACGTCCACCCCGGCTGCTGCGCGACTGGGCTGTTGCGGCTGTGGAGGAAGAGTGGCGAAGGATCTCAGCTTCGGTGGTGATAATCCACTGAGCAACTTCGGCAGGGGTGTGGTGCTTGGAGATAAGATGCATGTAAGTAAGCTTGTGAGCGTCGAAGGCAGGTGTGAGGCCCTCGAGGAGGTGGCAGCAGATGACCGTGTCCGGGTACACCACATCGAGTGTTGCAAGGCGCCGAGCAAGGTCTAGGACACGGCGAGTGAAAGCAGCTGCGCCAGAAGTGGAATCCATGGAGAGAGTTCCAAACTCCTTGATAAGGGCGTAAAGAGTGGCAACGTCCTGTCGATCGAAAAGGTCGACTAGCAGTCGCCACAGGTGGGAGGAGGAGGTAGATGAGAGCTCGCGTTTGAGGGAGGAGGGGATGGTGGCGAGAATAATGGCAAGCGCACGCCGATCAGCAACCCGCCAGGCATTACTTTTCGTGGTGTAGTCTGCAAGTTATGGAGTGTAGGTGTCCAGGTCCTCCTGGTACGTATTGTAGCGGGCAGCGGCCTCGTCATAGATGCGCCTGTCGTCCTCGTAACGCAATTGCAGGCGCAGGTGCTCTTGGAGATTGGTGCGGTAGGTGCAAATGGCGGTTTCCAAGCTCTGCGGGTCGTTGACATTCGGTGCGAAGGTGGGAGGATCACCGCGGGGAGAGGGCTCGGCGCCAGGGTGGGCGGGGGCAGGTCCAGTAGGAACGGTGGGGGCCACGGGCTGAAGTCCACCGCCTTCCTGAAAGACAACCGAGCGAAGGTTGTAGCCGCTGACCACAACAGAGGAGAGGAGCACCTCAACGGAATGAGCATAAGAGTGCTAATTAGCAGCAGAGTTGTCAGGCAGCAACTCGTGTGCGTCAACAGTGGCAAGGTCGATGGAAGAATCGGACGACGATGCCATAGAGATGAGGGTGGGTAGAGGCTAGGGCAGGAGGAGGATGGTGCGAGGGTACCGTTGCCAATGCTGCTGCTGGCCCTGCTGCCCGTGCCGCTGCTGGTTCTGCAGCTGGTGCCGCTGCGGGTAGGATGGGAGGAGGAAGGGAGGAGCGGAGGGTGGGTTGGGTGGAGGAGGAGGAGGGCGATGCTATGGGGGAGGAAAGGGGGGAGGGTGCTGCTGGTGGTGCTGCTGCGGGTACAATGGGAGGAGGAAGGGAGAGAGCGGGGGGGAGGGGACGAAGAGGGCAGCCGTGCGGCAGATCCGCGCGAATGGGAAGCCCGTGGCGAATGCACGCGGGACAGCCCGCGGCAAACGAGCGGGACGTGAAGAGATGGGCGCGAAATGGTCAGATTTCAGCGCGGGAGATGCAGATCTGGTCGCGCGGAGGGCAGATCTGGTCGCGCGGAGGGCAGATCTGAGCGCGCGGAGGGCAGATCTGGTCGCGCGGAGTGCAGATCTGGTTGCGCGGAGTGCAGATCTGGGCGGAGGGCAGATCTGGGCGCGCGAAGTGCAGATGTGGTCGCGCGGAGTGCAGATCTGGTCGCGCAGAGTGCAGATCTGGTCGCGCAGAGTGCAGATCTGGTCACGCGGAGTGCAGATCTGGTCGCGCGGAGTGCAGATCTGATCGCGCGAAGGGCAGATCTGAGCGCGCAGAGGACGGATCTGGGCAGGCGGAGTGCAGATCTGGGCGCGCGGAGTGCAGATCTGGGTGCGAAATGTTCAGATCTGGGTGCGGGAGGAGGAGATCTGGTTGCGCGGAATCCAGATCTGGGAGCGGAATGATCAGATCTAGGCGCGGGAGGAGTAGATCTGGTCGCAGGGAGTGCAGATCTGGGCGCTGGAGTTGCAGATCTGAGCGCGGGGAGTGCAGATCTGGGCGCTGGAGTTGCAGATCTGGACGTGCCTTGGAGGGCAGCGCCTTAGGGGGCGCACGGGGAGGGAGGACAGCGCCTAAAGGGCGCGTGAAGGGAGGGCAGCTCCGTGGGTGGGGCTAGATCTCAGGAACGGGGAGGAGAGGGTGGCCTAAGGACCGAGGGAGGTAGGCGTGAGCCATTAGCTCATGATACCATGTTAGAAGAGAGAGAATTGATACATTGAATAATGAGCCGAGAGGCTCTTTAGTACAAACAATGAGCAAGAGAGAGATGAGAGGGAAGCTTACCCTATTGGCCAATACGTTGGCCAGTGGGTGAGCTTGCTTGTGACCCAAGCAACCACAAATGTGTGTTGGTTGGGATTGGTTGAGCTAAGGACCAATCCCAACCAACCACAAAATGTGGTTGGAGGGTACACTAAGCAACCCCTCAATTTATAAATGTGCTACACTTCTAGCCTAAGTATGTTTTATGAAACATGAAATTACAACACATGCCTCGGAGACGAAGCAAGGAGGGGTGACCAAGGCGGTGGTGCCAAAGGAGAGTCTGGTGGGACAAGAGACGACACGAACAGGGAGCAGACTCAGGACCAGACCTGAACGCTGCAGCAAACACCAGACTCGACGCAGCTACCTGGGCAGACTCAGCACCCGGAGGAGACTCAGTAGTAAGGGTGTACAGGCTCGACCCTGGCCGACGAGTGAACGTGGCCAAGTGTCGGCCTGTCCGAGCACACGTGCAGTGGGTCACTCGCTGACTCGCAAGAGTGAACTGGTGGACCCCCCTATCCTGTAGGTCCGCTCCACTCACCAAGTTCGTAGAGAACGAGGGGAGGTAGAGACTTGACAGGGTGCCAGAGGGGGCTGCCGGGCACGGTAAGACAGTGGAGAAGCTAGCAAGGACAGGACCCCAAGAGGGGTCTCCAAGGGAGACTGCAACCGGCCGACTAAGCGGCGTAAGAGTGGTGCGGTCTCGAAAGAAGGAGCGGGACGCACCCGAGTCAAGGGTGAAGGTGTGTAAGGACGGAGCCGACGTAGTACTTGAGAGCGCAGACTCACCAGCACCTGGGGTAGCAGACGCACTAGCACCTGGGGCAGATGACGCACTAGCACCTAGAGCAGCAGCCTCACCAGCACCTAGAGCAGTAGCCTCAATGCCTGGGTCAGGCGGTACACACAAGTAACAGTCACCCACAACACTATCATCAACAGCATACATGGCAGCAAGAATAGCATCAAAGTCAAGATCAAAGATAGCAACCCCCGTCCCAGACAGCTCTCCCCAGCGAGGGATCTCAGAGGTCCCAGGGAACTGGTGACGCCACGCGCCCGTCAGGCGGCCGAAGCAGCGCTAGGTGGGGTGCGGGCCCCCGCACTGCTCACCAGCGCGGTCGCTGGTGCGGAGAACGTAGGTGCAGGGACCCGTACCCCCACTGCGCTGATGCGCAGCGTACCACTCACGAAGCTGCTGAGGGGACAGGGTCTCACGGCTGCTCTGCTGCTGCTGGTGCGAACCACCAACGGAGCCACTCGTCTGCGCAAAGCCGCGACCGAGTCCACTGCTGCCGCCGCTGCCTCCGCCGCCTCCTCCACCTCCGCCTCCTCCGCCACCTCCGCCGCCTCCGCTCCCTCCGCCACCTCCACCGCCTCCTCTGCCTCCACTGCTGCCGCCGCCGCCGCCACCCCCGCCACCACTCCCACCACCATCCCCACCCCCTCCACTGCCTCCACCACCACCTCCACCGCCCCCGCCAGCCCTTCCAGCTCCCTTGCCCCCTTTTCCCTTGCCGGTGTGGCGTCTCCCGCTTAGGGCAAACGCAGCGCCAACCGACTCGAAACCAACGAGGTCGGCCGCAGCACCAGAGGCAACAGAGGGCAAGAGGGGGGAGGGAGAACACTCCTCAAAGACGGGGGTGCGAGGGTCACCACGAGAGGCTCCTACAACGACTATGCTCTTCTTTGCTGCTAGGAGGGCCTTCTGGAGGAGGTCAACAGTGAGAGTGGTGGGGCAAACTGAGAGGAAGTGGTCCCTGACTACGTGGAGAGAGTCAGGGAGCTGGGTGACTATGTAGTAGAGGGTGATGTACAGGGGGGTGGGGGTTCTTGGCGCAGAACTCAGCAAGAAGCGCAGCGCGCTAGCGAGTGTCACTAGTGCAGAGGTGCGTAATGAGGTCAGCGACTGTGGGAATGGCAGCAAGGTCAGGGAAGAGGTACGGTAGCATGAGGCGGCTCAGTGCAGCAGTGGCAGGGGAAGAGTAGCGTGCAACTACAGAGTCGTACAAGGTCTAAGCACTCTTGTACTTGCTAAAGTGTGCACGCTCAGTGGTCGGTAAGTGGAGACGAACAGCAAGGCGAGCAGCAGCATCGCGTGTGACCCACAGTGAGCGAATACTGCTGTCAGCAGTAGCAGGCGGGGCAGGAGAGGCACCAGAGGTGAGATCGAACAGAGAGAGTCCGTCTGCCCTATCGCACTGGAGAAACACCTGGAGGTCATCGACCCAGACCTCAAAGTCAACGGCACGGCCCTTAGCATCAAAAGTGAGGACACTGGGGGTAGCCATGACTGCACTGGCCTAGGAGCAAGTGAGCTCACCAGTCCGAGGAAGGAGGGGCCAAGGAGCACCGGTAGGAACAGCAGCTGCTAGACAGTAGGGCAGCTCGGCGGCTCGGCGGCTCGGCTGCAGGCCGGCTCGGGTGCTGGGCGGCTCAGCTGCAGAGCGGCTTGGCTGCTGGGCGGCTCGGCGTCAGGGCGGCTCGGCTGCTGGGCGGCTCGGCTGCTCGGCTGCTGGGCGGCTCGGCTGCTGGGCGGCTCGGGTGCTCGGTAGGTGGGCGGCTCGGGTGCTGTGCTGCTTGGCAGCTCGGTCGCTGGGCGGCGGAGCGGTGATAGGGCCGCTAAGGGAGGGCGACGGGGACGCGGGTGACGGCAATAGGGCCGTAGTTGGCGGCGACTGGGCCAAAGGTGGCGGCGGGGCCGCAGCTGGCAGCGAGGCCGCAGGTGGCGGCGGTGTGGCCGTAGGTGGCGGCGACGGGGCCGCAGGTGGCGGCGACTGGGCCGCAGAGGGGCCTAGACGGGGCCGAGAGGGGCCTAGGCGGGGCCGAAAGGGGCCTAGCCGGGGCCGAAAGGGGCGTAGACGGGGCCGAAAGGGGGCCTAGACGGGGCCGCGGAGGGGCCTAGACGGGGCCGCAAGGGGCCTAGACGGGGCCGCGGAAGGGCCTAGACGGGGCCGCAATGGGCCTGGACGGGGCCGCGGAGGGGCCTAAACGAGGCCTTAAGGGGCCTAGACGGGGTCGCGGAGGGGCCTAGACGGGGCCGCAAGGGGCCTAGACGGGGCCGCGGAGGAGCCGTAAGAGGCCTAGGCGGGGCCGTAAGGGCGGCACGAGGGGCCTTAGAGGGCGGCGCGAGGGGCCTTAAGGGGTTGTAAGGGGCCGTAAGGGCGGCGCGAGGGGCCTTAGAGGGCGACGCGAGGGGCCTTAGGGGGCCGTAAGGGCGGCGCGAGGGGCCTTAGAGGACGGCGCGAGGGGCCGTAAGGGCGGTCAAAGGGGCCGTGAGAGGGGCCACTAAGGGCGGCTCGAGGGTAGGTAGGGCACACGAAGCGCGATTCAGGCAGGAGTGAATCGTGCTTCGGGCAAGAAAAAAAAAATTCGTGGTGGGCCCTAGGTAGCGTTCCCACTAGGGAACCTGCTCGATACCATGATGAGAAACGAGAATCAATGAACTATGAAAGAGTTGGGTACAAGTACTAACCCTAATTGGGTTGTAACCCTTATGGACTACCCCACTACAGCCTACACAAATGCATAAGCTATAATGTTCTGACACTCTTCACTACCTTATCAACACCCCAACGATGCATCAGGTCGAGCCGATCTAGAGTAAGTCGTCGACGTAGATGATGAGTAGAATGTAGTCAGCAGCTTTCGTAAGTTGGTACATTCCCTGATTGTGCGGTAATTGGCGTAATCCGATGCGTATTAGTCGGGCGTGAAGGTAATGCTGCCATAGTCTCGGAGCCTGTTTGATACCGTATTAGGACTTCAACAGCTCACAGACTTGATTAGGATCTGCGTTTGAGTCGTGCGGTTGTTGGCAAAGATTTCTGCGTTGATGGGAGCGTACAGAAAGGCGTTGGTGACATCAATTTGTCGGAGAATGGCGGCTATCGTGAGGAGAATCCGCAGTGAGGTTTGTCGGCTGACCGGCGCAAACGTCTCGGTGAAGTCTCGTCCGTGCTCTTGGTCGAAGCCGCGTACGACCCAACGCGCCTTAAATTTGTCGATGGTTCCGTCTGCCTTTGTTTTCACACAAAAAAACCACTTCCCGGTGATTATTGTCTTGTTGAGTGCCACTCCGATGGGTACGACCTTCCAGGTGTTGCGTTCTTCCAGCGCCTTTAACTCCTTGTCCATGGCTTTGCGCCATTTTTCCCTCTGTTCCCCCCCAAGAGCCTATTGAGCTATGGCAGGCTCTTTAGGTGGCGCTGCTCCGTGGACGGCGGTGACGAGTCCCAGTATCTGCTATCCACTCTGTGTGTAGCGGGGGAGATTTTGAGAAGAATAGAACGAGAATGAAATGACTATGAATGAAGTGAGTAAAAATAGGAAACCCTAATGGGATTGTACCCCCTATGGGATACCCCACTATAGCCTACACAAATAAGTAAGCTATAATGTTCTGACACACCCCCATAGGCAAAGTGGGGGAGAACAAGGGGTCACAAGACCAATCAAGCAAAGCAAAGAAAAGCTCAGGGTGGATCACAAAGTCACCACACATTCCGAGCACAAGTTCAAAGGCCAGAAGGCCAGTTCACATGCAAGATCACATATAGAGATATACAAGAGTCAAACAAGCAAGAGCAAGAGTATATATAGGTAAAGGTACAAGCAAGGTCAAGAAGTGAGCAAGTGAGGCGAGAGAGGCACAAGACCCAGCTGCGTGCAGCAGCGCTGATGATCACAAGGCGCAAGTGCCTTGGTGAAGACATCAGCAGTGTTGGCCTCAGAGGCCACGTACGCAAGTCGCAACTGTCCACGCTGCTGTAGCTCACGAGCAAGAAAGTAGCGGAGAGCAATGTGCTTTGTCCTGTGCTCCAGTCGCTGCTCTCGACACAAGGCTAGCATGGCCTTGTTGTCTACGTACAGGACTGGAGGAGAACGAGGCGGCTCTCCAAGGTCGGTCAGCAGGTAGGTGAGCCAGCGAAGCTCCTGGGCCGCCATAGCCCCGGCGTAGATCTCAGCCTCACAACTGGAGCCGAGAACAGAAGACGAGCGGGTAGCCCGCCACGAAACAGAGCCGGAACCAAGGCTGAAGGTGTAACCCTTTGACGACCGCTGCATAGCCTGGTCGTCAGCCCAAGAAGCGTCCGCATGCCCAGTGAGGACCACTGGACTGCGCCCTCCAAGCACTAGCCCCATGCCCGACGTACTGCACAAGTAGCGCAACACCCTCTTCGCTGCAGCCATGTGCTCTGGTCGGTGTCTCCCAGGAGCAACATAGCGTGCGAGAATGCTAAGAGGGTATGCAAGGTCAGGTCGTGTGCAGGTCATCAGGTACATGAGGCAGCCAACAAGCTCTGCATACGGGCCACTCGACTCTACGGACTCATCCGAAGGCAGAGCTGAGAGCGAGTGGCGAGTAGGCAGAGGAGTGGCCTGAGGCGAGGAGTACGTGAAGCCGAAGCGCTGAAGGACCTGCTGCACCATGTGTGACTGAGTCAGGGTAATGGTGCGGCGTGCTCTGTCCCGGGTGATCTGCAAGCCAAGGTAGCTGCGCAGTTCACCCAGGTCAGTGCACGTGTGTCTCTTTTGCAGCTCGGACTTCACGTAGGCGAGTCCAGCAGTGTTAGCTGTGGCAAAGACCAAGTCGTTGACGTACACGAGGATGTAGAACGGCGGCAAAGAGGTGTCGGTGCGCAGAAACAGCGACGGGTCTGCAGTGGAAGGAGCAAACCCAAGTGCCGCCAGCGTAGTCCTCAGTGTGTCGTGCCACTCACGCGGCGCCTGGCGGAGACCGTAGACTGGCTGCCGGAGACTCCACTGGGTACCAGGAGGGAAAGACCCAGTGAAACCAGGTGGGCGACGCAGCCAGATCTCCTCGTGCAGGCTGCCCTGCAAGAAAGCAGTGCTGAAGTCGAGAGAGTGCAACTCGTAGTCACGGTGAGCAGCAACGTGCAGTAGTACCTGAAGAGTGGTCATCTTCGGGGTGGGGGAGAAGGTCTGAAAGTAGTCAACTCCCTGCCGCTGACTGAAGCCACGAGCCACGTAACGCGCCTTGAAGACAGGCGGAGAACCCGGTGGCCGCTTCACCCTGAAAATCCACATGCCACTGACGATGTTCGCCCCAGGAGGGGGGACAGCGTCAACGTAGGTGCCTGTGGACTTCCAAGACGCCATCTCTGCATCCATAGCTGCTTGCCACTGAGAGGAGTAGGGACCCTCTATCGCCTCCGCGTAAAAGCGCGGAGTCGGGATGTCTAGTGCATCCGGGTCTCCCTCAGAGGTAAGCAGTACAGACGCGAGATGAGGTGAAGCGGCGGCCAGACACTGGAACTCCTCCTGCCTGTCCTCAAGGACGTCCGTGCCAAGGGCACACTCACCCCCGACGGACGGAGGACAGGCAGACTCAGACTCAGCGACAAGACTAGCAGCGTAGTCTAGACGACAGCGCGCAGCAAAGTCGACGAGCTCAGTAACAAGGGCAGACGCAGCAGAAGACTCGAAAGAAGGGTCAGTGACGGCAGTAGCAAGGAGACGCGTGACAGTAGGACTGGCAGCACGAAGAGAGTCCGACTCCGGGTTGGCAAGAGCAGGAAGAGAGGAAGCAGGAGGAGAAGGCAAAGGGGCACGCAGAGGAGCAGTGGACGGACGCAGAGACATCCGGTGCGTGCCAGGGACAGGAGGAGGACGCTGACGCGAACCGCGACCACTAGTGCGCGCAGCACGAACAGGCGACGCAGGACGTGACGCAGGCTCACGACGCTCAGTAAGACCTCCAGTCGGACCAGTGTAGGGAGAAGGAGCAGGCAAAGGGGAGGCAGGCTGTAGCTGTGACTGTGACTGGACGGGCTGTGGACCCTCTAAGGGAGGAGGAGGAGGACCAGGAGAAGGTGTAAGACCAAGAACCTGCTGCAGGAGTGGAACGAAGTACGGTCGGGGTCGCGTGGCGACGCCAGAAACAGCAGGGACAGCACCAGTACCCCCAGCAGGAGTACCCGCTCCAGCAGCACCTCCAGTAGCTCCAGAACCCCCAGCAGCACCTCCAGCATCCCCAGAACCTCCACCAGCACCAGGAGCACTGCCAGTCGGACCGCCAGCGGTAGTCTCAGCGCCAACACGCTCAGCAGCACCAGCTCCAGGAGAACCCGCGGGCCCAGCAGCTCCAGTACTCCCTGTACGAGCACCTCCAGGACGCGCGGCAGCAGCACCCTCAGCAGCCGAAGAACCTCCAGCACCAGCAGCACGCCTCCAGCGCCGGGCAAACCACTCACGCAGCTCATGTGGGGAGAGTGGCTCTCGGCGAGTCGAAGCACCCGGACAACCTCCAGGCGAAGAACCTCCAGTC